AAATTTTCCCCCCCCCCCCCCCCCCCCCCCAAATCTCGAAACATTAAATTACGTTTCGTTTTTTTGTAAATTTGCCTTCTGTAAACGCTCCGAATCCGATTGACCCAGAATTTTGCTTGAACAAGTATAATTTTACTACAATATCTGGCGCACATGGATAAGATTTATATGTTTTTGACTCTGTTCTCTTGCTATATACATAATTCACGTCCATCTTTTAATTTGTGGGGTAGGACGAAAGGGATGTTCCCGAGGACAAGGAGGGGTGATCACGTGACCCCTATGTATTCTCTGTATAGTATGTAGCCGTCCCCCAGCCACCATGCCCCAGAATACCTCGTCGTCCATCACTAAGCAAGAGTCCGTCAGCCCTGGCGTGTCCACGGCTCCTGGTTGAACGCAGGTCACCTTGACCCCTTCTTTGCATACCTCCTGCCTCAGCGTTCGTGTCATTCCTTCCATGAAGAACTTAGTGCCGGTGTAAACTGCCATCCCGATAGACGCCTGGTAACCCAAATATTATATATATATTGTTTTGATTAATTTCTTTTATTTATCTATTCTCCCATGTATTTATACACCTAATGAAGTTGTAGTCATGGCATATTTATGGTCACATGATGGCCAATTGATAAAAAAGGGAAAGAAAGAAAGGAAGGAAAAGAAATAAAATATGCTTGCCATATCTTTCTGTGTTTAAAATCGTGACCTTTACCACATGTGACTAACTTTAATAATTACCATTCTGCCGCTTTCTGACGAAATGTTGACAATGTGCCCGCTTCGTCTTTTACACATGCCACTTAGCACTGCTCCGATACAGTTTAGGACACCCTTAAACAGAAATGACTTTAATTTTTAAAAAAAAGAAACCAATATACTTAAAGACACTAAACAGAATTAAATTTATTTCACAGTGAATAATATATTCATTTCCATGAAAGTATGAACACTTCTTCCTTGATTGTCAAGGTACACCATACCAAATATACACTTCACAGAAGTACGATATCTGAACCTTTTAATTTTAATTAAAAGTTATTAGTGTTAGAGTCTTTCTTGTATACTGATATGAAATTTATTCTAGCATTAAAAAGCCATTGATTCAATGATTCAACTAAATTTAGTTTTTTATCCTTTACCTTGATGTTAACGTCGACGGTGCGTTCCCATTCGTCTTCTTGCGCGTTCTTCATAAAGGAGAAGTACCACACCCCAGCACTATTGACCAAAATATCCACGGGACCAAAGGACTCCTCTGTCTGCTTTATCATCTCTTTGACCTGAACACGAATGTGTGGCCTGCTTTTCCATATTATTATTATTATTTAACACCAACAAAATATACCTTAGAAATTCATTTCAAACACGTTTAATAATATGTTAAAGATGTAATACAACAGATAACTGATAAGTTATAACATTTTGTGTAAGAATGAAAATTAAATTTAAGGCATGTGGGAAGACTGTCTTGAGCTCAAGCATAAAAATTGGATAATTTTAAGAAATATTATTCATGAGATATCTATGACATGTTACAAACTTCTTACTTCTTACAAAGGGAAAGTCTAAAATCTGTGATTGGAAACCGATCTGAGCGCGTTTAGAGAAAGTGTCCTAGATCCGATAAGGATCCATTCACAATGGATGGTCCGAGTAATAATCGATGCCGCTGATTCCTAATGGTCTCATGGTCTCCTGATGGCATTTTAACCTCGGAGTAGAGATTTAATCTGTTGTAAGGATCGTGTGGAGGCGGGGAGACCATCACGAGTCAGCGGCGTCGCTTTGAAATGTAGTATTTAGTCGGCGGATCAGTAATTACTCGGATCATCCATTCTGAATGGGGTCTTAGTTTTGGTTTAAATCAGCTGTGAACGTGTCCAGAAAACAAAAGTACCTGAGTTCTGTTCGACACGTCACATTTCAAAGCAATCGCCTCGCCACCTTCTTTTTTAATTGTTTCTTTTAACTCATTTAACATCTCTTCGCGCCTTGCTGTCATGGCAACCTTAGCTCCTGCCGCTGCCAGGTGCCGAGAGATGGCAGCACCAATACCGCTCGAAGCTCCTGTTACCACGGCAACCTTCCCAGAAAGAGGCTTGTCGTCTGGAAATGTATCTATTTAATTTCAGACCGTAATTCCATATAAAAAAACAACAAAGCCCTATCATAGGGTATTAATATTATTATGAAGTATCATTATTTATAATATTTTGCTATCTGTACAGTTCGAGATTTTTAAATAAAATGAACAGGTTTAATTTTTTCAACATCATCTTGATAATTTCTCCAAGTCTACTCAGAAAAAGCGAACATGGCGCATTATTTGAGCGAAAATATAATAAAAGGTTGCATTTACCTTGCTTATTAATCTGAGTTACCTCCATGGTTTAGCAGTTCCTGCAGCAGACGATAGCCGTAATTAGAGTATGACACACTCTTTACAACTTCTTGCTCAGTATAAGGTCATTATCATTTCAAACGAAATTAATCAAATAAAAAATCATCACATTTCTTTTTGACCATACGGTTATTAAGCATTCAAACAAAAAGAAAAATATAACGCAACAAAATGTGCTACTCACTTGCTCTTGATGACTATCTAGGATAACAATATCTGTGAAAGTGGAGATACCGAGCAAATGGAGACGACTTTACTGACTGTTCTCAGCTGTTTACCTGGTCCCATATTAGCATCGACAAGTTGAGTGTGTATAGTTTACTTTGGGAGCCTAGTTTGACCCAAATAGTTGTTTAAATACTAGTAAGAGTAAATGTATATTTGTTTAAATACTGATAAAAAGAGTAAATGTATTTGAAGAGTTTTCGGCGACCATTTTGGCTGTTTGAAATTCGTGAAAGGAAAAATATGAGCACCCATCAACTTGTGGCCATCCACAGTTGAAGAGAACATAGGGGAAACACCTCAGTATTATTATGGAAGATATTTATACTTCCATGGTATTGTTTACATGTCAATGAAACTCAGAAGTCTGCTGAGGATACTTATCAATTTCTTCAGGTCAAAGCAGTCCAAATCATTAAAAAGGAATTTCCACTAATTTCGATACATTCTTGATGAGAGTTTAAAAGGCATCTTGGATCCGTGAACGTGCACTACAATGGAATCTCTGTTGGGTGAATAAGAACTTTATTGACCGCTTCATCTTTCGGTTGCTTAAAAACGTATGTATATCACTGCACGGGCAGCGAGATTGATACCCTCTTCGATATAACTGTGGACGACCTTACTCTTCAGTGATAACATATGAAATATATATTTTAGTTTATAGATAATTATCTTGTAGCAAGCTAGTTCAATTCCCAAATAGCTTTACTCTAGCTAAAGCTCAATAAAAATAGGAAATAGGGTATTCAACAGTTCCCAGCAGACACATTTAACTTTACCTTGTTTGTATGTTTGAGTTGTCATGGTACCACCTGGTTTTGTATCTAAAGCGGCGACCTGGTTGATTGATTAGAAGAGAGAGGGGATAATGTACACGGTGGATAACAGACGCTCGAGGCCGTATATAGGGGGTTGCACTGTATGAAGCCACGTGCCCACGCCCGTATGTTCTTACATGCATACATGTATATCCCAACTCCTTCTTCTAGCTCCCAAATGAATAAATAAACAAATGAATAAATATGTACATTTTAATAAACAAATTCCCGTACTCTATAATGTCCTTGCTTACTGTTTGAATTTGGTCAAGTAAAGCGTGGCTTTAAGCCTTGTGCCCCCCCCCCCACCTCCACCCCCCACCCCCACCTCCACCAACCCACCCTACCCATCTGCCTCCTTCTGTAGCAAACTTCTGGAGGTGTTAAGTTGTATTAAATATTTTCTGAGGTTCCCATTTTTAAAGTGGAGCATCTCGTGGCTGAATAAGAACTTCGTTGATGGCCACTTCATCCGGTTGTTTCAGGGCATATAACACAACACGAGCAATATCGTCAGCTGAAACTTTGATGCCTTCTGCGAGTTCACTGTAAATTTTCTTGCACTGAAATCACAAAAGGAACAGGTGGAATGAATGGATAAATGAACACTTTCATTTTGATACTGGAATAAAAAGCTTGAAATTAAAGTGTCAACATGTGCGGTCAGCTGTATCTTTAAGACTGAGTATAAATTATAACTTGTCTATCAATTAAGTTCCGCATTCTTGTATGAAACTCTTAAAATAGTTTTAACTAAAATATCTTTTAAATTACTACTATCAAATGGACGCTGTCAGAACGCTCAGATGTTCAAAGTTCCCTTCAAATCTTAAAACATTAAATTGCTTTTCATTATTTGTAAAAGTACCCTATGTAAACCCTCCAAATCCGGCCGACACGGAATTTTGCTCTGAGAATGAATGTAGAAAAATTGCACAAGTGCACTTTACTACAATATCAAGCTAGGGCACTGGGATAAGATTTATTTGTTTTTGACCCTGTTCTTTTAATATACAACATTGGTCAAAAAGGTTGACCCACCCCCAGTTCCATGTGCATTCCAGGAGTTAATTGCTATGAATAGTGATTTTCATTCCAGAGAGATAAAGAAATGCCCATTAAGTTGAAAAGACACCATCGAATGTCACCAAATTTACACACATTTAGCATTAGGTGTGTTCATTAAAGGTCAGAACATTGGGTTTTCTAACCAGACAAGAGCTGTGTGCAAGTGTGATGTCATAATGAAGCCTGGATCAACCCCGACGTCCTTTCTTGCAGATGGAATGAGGTATCAGTTGATAATGTTAGGTTCAGTGACCCCATCACTACCACAGCTTGGTCAACCATCACTAGGAGCAAGCTGGTTTTGCTGAAGAATCAAGGTATTTCTCTATGCCTTTGATGGTCAAATAAGGGGCCGTGGATATGTTGCAGAATGCTTTTGGGAAGGTGTGTGCAGGATAATACCGCCTGAGGTGTCAGGTCAGTCCATGTTTGGAAAGCATTCTAAGCCCATGGTTTTAGTACATTGTTCTTTCCAGAAAAGAACGTTACTGGGGCAATTCACTGAAAAAACATTCTCAACAAATATCTAACTCCATTTGCAAGAGGTGACTTCAGAGATACTACAGGCGACATCGTGGAAATGCACTTGCACACAGTTCTCTTCTGCTGAGTGATTTGTTGCAGAAACCCAATGTTCAGAGGATGAAGCAACCATCTTTGAGCCCTGATATTAACCCTACTATGCACATGTGGCATGAACTGAAGTATGCAATGCAAAGGAGAAGCCAACTCCTAATAATCTGGACCAAATCCCCCAAGCTCTTTAGGAAGAATGGGACAATATTCCACAAAACAGATTGTTATCCTTGTTGAAAGCAGGCAGCGCCGCCTACAGGAGATAATTACAGTACGCGGTAGACACACACGCTATTTGACACGTGACCTTTAACGAGCACACCCTAATGCTAAACGTGTGTAAATTTGGTGACATTTGGTGGCGTCTTTTTAATTTAACGGGCATTTCTTTACCTCTGTGAAAATCAGAATGAAACGTCGGGTTTGAGGAGGTACATGTAATAAATGTAAATAAATGGTAATAAATAACGATATATTCACCTCTAGCTTGTATTTTTTGTACAAGGTATCAGTTGATAATGTTAGGTTCAGTGACCCCATCACTACCACAGCTTGGTCAACCATCACTAGGAGCAAGCTGGTTTTGCTGAAGAATCAAGGTATTTCTCTATGCCTTTGATGGTCAAATAAGGGGCCGTGGATATGTTGCAGAATGCTTTTGGGAAGGTGTGTGCAGGATAATACCGCCTGAGGTGTCAGGTCAGTCCATGTTTGGAGAGCATTCTAAGCCCATGGTTTTAGTACATTGTTCTTTCTAGAAAAGAACGTTACTGGGGCAATTCACTGAAAAAACATTCTCAACAAATATCTAACTCCATTTGCAAGAGGTGACTTCAGAGATACTACAGGCGACATCGTGGAAATGCACTTGCACACAGTTCTCTTCTGCTGAGTGATTTGTTGCAGAAACCCAATGTTCAGAGGATGAAGCAACCATCTTTGAGCCCTGATATTAACCCTACTATGCACATGGGGCATGAATTGAAGTATGCAATGCAAAGGAGAAGCCAACTCCTAATAATCTGGACCAAATCCCCCAAGCTCTTTAGGAAGAATGGGACAATATTCCACAAAACAGATTGTTATCCTTGTTGAAAGCAGGCAGCGCCGCCTACAGGAGATAATTACAGTACGCGGTAGACACACACGCTATTTGACACGTGACCTTTAACGAGCACACCCTAATGCTAAACGTGTGTAAATTTGGTGACATTTGGTGGCGTCTTTTTAATTTAACGGGCATTTCTTTACCTCTGTGAAAATCAGAATGAAACGTCGGGTTTGAGGAGGTACATGTAATAAATGTAAATAAATGGTAATAAATAACGATATATTCACCTCTAGCTTGTATTTTTTGTACCACTTATAATGCTAGTTATGGTGTCTGGAATGAAAATCACCATTCAGAGCAATTAACTCCTGTGATGTGATCATTTATAAATAAAAACACAAGAAACTGGGGGTGGGACAACATTTTTGACCAATGTTGTATACATATATCACGTCCATTTTTTAATTTGAGGAGGGGTAGGACGAAAGAGATGTGCCCTCGGCAAGGAGGGGTGGTCGCATGACCCCTGTGCGCCTTCTGTAGTACATAGCCGTCTTCCAGCCACCATGCCCCAGAATACCTCGTCGTCCATCACTAAGCAAGAATCCGTCAGCCCTGGCGTGTCCACGGCTCCTGGTTGGACGCTGGTCACCTTGACCCCTTCTTTGCATACCTCCTGCCTCAGCGTTCGTGTCATTCCTTCCATGAAGAACTTAGTGCCGGTGTAAACTGCCATCCCGATAGACGCCTGGTAACCCAAAATGTTATATATATAATTTTAAAAACCAATTCTTCTGATTAATGTCTTTTGTTTATCTATTTTCTCTCATGCATTTATAAACCCAACGAAGCTGTAGTCATGGAATATTTATAGTCACATGATAACCAATAAAAAAAGAAAGAAAGAAAAGAAAATCGTGACCTTTCCCATATGTGGCCAATTTTAATAATTACCACTCTGCCGCTATCTGACGATATGTTGACAATATGCCCGCTTCGTCTCTCACACATGTCACTTAGCACGGCTCCGATACAGTTAAGGACACCCTTTAAAAGAAATAAATAAATAACAAATAAATTTAAAGATACTTAACAGAATTAAATTTATTTCACAGTGAATTATATATTAATTTCCCTGAAAGTATGAACAGTTCCTCCTTGATTGTCAAGGAACACCATACCAAATATACGTACACTTCACAGAAGTACGATCTATTAACCTTTTAATTAAGTTATTTTTAGTGTTAGAGTCTTTCTTGTATACTGATATGAATTTTATTCTAGCATTAAAAAGATATTGATTCAATTATTCAAATATATATAAGTATATATTAGTTTTTATCCTTTACCTTGATGTTAACGTCGACAGTGCGTTCCCATTCGTCTTCTTGCACGTTCTTCATAAAGGAGAAGTACCACACCCCAGCACTATTGACCAAAATATCCACGGGACCAAAGGACTCCTCTGTCTGCTTTATCATCTCTTTCACCTAAACACGAACATGTGGCATGTTTTTCCATATTATTATTATTATTATTATTATTATTATTAATATTATTGTTGTTGTTTTTGTTGTTTTTAAACACTAACAAAATATACTTTAGAAATTCATTTCTAACACGTTTAATACTTACTTGTATGTTTAAGATGTAATACAATAGATTACTGATAAGTCATAAGATTTTGTGTAAGAATTAGAATTAAATTTAAGGCATGGGGGAAGATTTTTAGAAATATTATTCACGAGATATCTATGCCATGTTTCAAAATTCTTATTTGTGACAATGGATGATCCGAGTACTAACTGATCCGCCGACTAAATATGGCCAACCACATTCCAAAAGCGATGCCTCTGATTCCTGATGGTTTTATTGTCTCCAGATGGCATTTAAACCTCGGAGCACAGATCAAATCCGTTTTAAGGCGCGTGTGGAGGCGGGGAGACCATAACGAGTCAGCAGCGTCGCTTTGAACTGTGGTCGGCCATATTTCGATGGCGGATCAATAAGTACTCGGATCATCCATTCTGAATGGGGCCTTAGTTTTGTTTTAAATCAGCTGTGAACGCGCCCAGAAAACAAAAGTACCTGAGTTCTGTTTGACACGTCACATTTCACAGCGATCGCCTCGCCACCTTCTTTTTTAATTGTTTCTTTTAACTCATTTAACATCTCTTCGCGTCTTGCTGCCATGGCAACCTTAGCTCCTGCCGCTGCTAGGTGCCGAGAGATGGCAGCACCAATACCGCACGAAGCTCCTGTAACCACGGCAACCTTCCCAGAAAGAGGCTTGTCGTCTGGAAATGTATCTAATTAATTTCAGACCATGATTCCATTAAAAAAACAACAAAGCCCTATCATAAGTTAGTATCATCATCATTATGTATCATTATTATATGATATTTTGGGATCTGTACAGTTCGAGAATTTTAATTAAAATGAACAGGTTTAATTTCCTCAACACCATCTTGATAATTTCTCCAAGTCTACTCAGAAAGAGTGAACATGGCGCATTATTTGAGCCACAATTTTAAGGGGTGCATTTACCTTGCTTATTCATCTGAGTTGCCTCCATGGTTAAGCAGTTCCTGCAGCAGACGATAGCCGTGATTAGAGTATGAAACACTTTTTACAACTTCTTGCTCAGTATAAGGTCATTATCATTTCAAACGAAATTATACAAATAAAAAAATATCACATTTCTTTTTGACCATACGTTTATTTAGCATTCAAACAAAAAGAAAAATAAAGCGCAACAAAATGTGCTACTCACTTGATGGCTATCTAGGATAACAATATCTGTGAAAGTGGAGATACCGAGCAAAGGGAGACGACTTTACTGACTGTTCTCAGCTGTTTATCTGGTCTCATATTAACATCGACAAGTTGAGTGTGTATAGTTTACTTTGGGAGCCAGGACGTGGCGGGGTCACATCAAGTTTGACCCACATTTTTGTTTAAATACTGATAAGAGTCGATGTATTTGAAGGATTTTCGGCGACCATTTTGACCGTTTGAAATTCGTGAAAGGAAAAATATGAGCACCCATCAACTTGTGGCCATCCAGAGTAGAAGAGAACATAGGAAAAACACATCAGTGTTGTTATTATTAATATGTCAACGAAACTCAGGAAGTCTGCCGAGGCTAGTTATCAATTTCTTCAGGTCAAAGCAGTCCAAAGCATTAAAAAGGAATTTCCACTGATCCTCTGCTGATTTCGATAAATTCTTTCTGAGAGTAAAAAAATCATCTCTGTTGGCTGAATGAGAACTTTATTGACCGCCACATCTTTTGGTTGTTTAAGTAAGTAAGTATTTATTAATTAACGTGAGATATGATATGAATACACCACCCGGCCTCATGGGACTACAAGCCACCGACATATATCAGAGACAAAAAAGTCACATATCACTGCACGTGCAACATCATCTGCAGCCAGATTGATACCCTCTTCAATTTAACTGTCGACGACTTTATACTCTTCAGTGATAACATGAAATATATATATTTTAGTTTACGGATAATTATCTTGAAACAAGCTTGGTCAATTAAGCAATTCCCAAATAGCTTTTCTCTAGCTGAAGCTCAATAAAAATAGGAAATAGGGTAGGCAACAGTTCCCAGCAGACACATTTAACTTTACCTTGTTTGTCTGTTTGAGTTGTAATGGTACTGCCTGGTTTTGTATGGAAAGCGGTGACTTGTTTGATTGATTGGAAGAGAGAGGAAATGATGTACAGGGGCGGATCCGCGGATGCGACCCCCCCCCCCCCCCCCATGGTATTTTAGAGGGCGAACGGTGCCATTTGGTACGGTTTAGAACTATGATTCAGTTAGTCAAAATTCTAATTTGAAGGGGGGATCGTTGGCGTGATTTTTTTTTCAGAAATCGAAGGGGGTCAGGACCCCCCTGGCACCCCCTAACTCCGCTACTGCATTATCAACAAATCCGACGCTTAAAGATACTCTGTTCATATACCGAGACCAAGGTCTTTGTAACAGACATCAATGATACTTAATTAGTGAAAATAAGTAACATTTTAAAGAAGTGCGCGCATGAGTTGAAGAGGGAGGTGGAAGTTAGCGACCCATTGCTCAAAGTATTTCTTTTCTAATGTCTTTTACAATGTAATCTTGCTTGCCGATTAAGCCAGTTAAGCAGCGACCCGAATTAAACACGTGACAAAGTGAATACAATAAAAATTAGGTGCTGCACCACCGATATGGGAAAACACTCACCAAACGTTTTGAGCATAGATAACTGTGTTTTGAAAAAGAAAATATGCACATTTTGACAAAGACCATTTTCACGACGAACGGTATACTGACCTATTATCGCGGCATTCTAACTGGTCATAAAATGCATTCAAACAAATTAATCGGGTCACCGAGCTGAGTCGATTCGGACAATTTTTCCGTAATATATTCAGGCTATTTAGTTAAATTCTTTATTTCTTAGGTTGTGGATTGATATGGTAAAGCATTTAACGTGATGAAGTTCTCAGATTGAAGTCTCGTCTGTGGTCTTTTCCATAGATTTTGTTCCTTTTTCTCTCTTGTAAAACTTTTCTAGGCATGACTGAATAATGTTCTGATTAATACATCAGGAAATCTTAGTGACCTGCTATCATCTAAACTGCAAACGCTTGCGGCACGAGACAAACATCATTGACGGCCACATCTTGAGGTTGTTTCAAGGCTTGTATAACTGCACGAGCAGAAGCATCTGCAGTAAGATTGGTACTCTCGGCAAAATTGTAGAGTTTCTTACACTGAAAAGAAATTGGAATATGCATGTCACTGTCAAGATTCAAATCTAAGTATATTGGTTATCTGCCTCGGAAAGATGTAAATTGGAACCTTAAAATACATTTATATCTGGCTAACTGTGGGTAACACTTATAAACTTAATTCTTTGTATTCTTTGTGAGCGTGTCAACGGTGCCAAATATAACGTTAATGATTACATGATGGATTTTATAAAAATTCCTCTTCATGGGGTAGTTCAGCCATTATTTCATCAATCTCACAATGCGACATACAATGACCAACTGAACACTCAAACTTCATCCGAAACAATGCAAGAACTATGGTGCCTTTAGTGATGCAACGTGTTGTTAACAGATCTTACATCATCATCCATATTGGATAGAGAGGTAGCCAGTCCCGGCGTGTCCACTGGACCCAGGTGGACATTGGTCACCTTGACCCCCTCCTGGCACACCTCCTGTCTTAGCGTTCGTGTCATCCCCTCCAAGAAATACTTCGCACCAGTATAAACTGCCATCCCTTTCAAAGGCTGGAAAACACATAACCAAATTATGAGCGGCACAATTATTTCTCATTTGTCAATTATTTATTATTAACTTTAAAAGTTTCTTTTAGAAACAAAAACATCGCTTAAATGTTTGCATCCTTTAGAAATAAGTAATAAAAAAGTAATTATAAATAAGTTAGAAATAAGAAATAAATCTCAAATACTCTTCATCTTCCGAACACATAGGCCTACTCAAACTTTAATAGTATAGAGTTTATATTTTACCAGATCTCTGACTCCTGTTACGTTGATGATATGTCCTCTTTTTCTTACACACATGTCACTGATCACTGCTCCGATACAATTTAAGACGCCCTAGAGAAAAGATGTCTTTAATAGAGCCTAAAGCACTACAGGTGGAGGTCCAAATGTGCAAATGTGGCATTTTGTACCATAATTCGAGATTTAAATTCCTCCATGAATGGTAGTATCGCCATTAAGTAACATTCACCTTTTTGTACCTTTATGATAATAAATGGCGTTTCTGCTGCAATATACACGGTACGCTTTAGACCTTTACACAGGAAAAAACTTCTTTATGGAATTATAAGCAATGTATTGCCAAGGTATACCCTTTGTAGTTTTATTTTGCAGTATAAAACAACAACAACCCCCCCCCCCCCCGCCCACCCCCCTCTTAAAACAATATGGAAATGATTTAAGTTTAAGACCATGATTTGTTTCTTCACAAGTACAGGTGTGGACTACATTAAAGAAGTGCGCAATAATCAGGTGAAGACAACTCAAAGACTTTTTTTTTCAAAATCAATCCCGGACCTCGGTCGAAAGTTGGTCAAAGTAGATGAAATTCTTCACTTTGAGCCAAGGTACATCGGTAGTAGTCGATTTTCAATTGTTATATTGCACAATATCTTTATTTAAGTCGATTTCTGCAAATTTATCCTTCTATAATATACCACTTTAATTTTATGTTAAAATATTAGTTTTACCTTAATGTTAACGTCAACTATTTCTTCCCACAGGTCTTCTTTGGCATATTTCATGAAGGTGAAGTGCCACACCCCGGCATTGTTGACAAGAATATCTACCGGACCAAACGTGCTCCCTGAACGCTTTATCATTTCTTTGACCTAAAAGTTTGTACAAAAACTAATATGTTAACCAGTCTCTACACAGATAACTCTGAAATACAAGATGTAACCAGGATGTTGCTTTTACTTTCTTATAAGTTCAGATTACAATATATAACATATAACACATAAGAGAATACGGCATTGAGAGAGAGAGAGAGAGAGAGAGAGAGAGAGAGAGAGATGGACAGAATCCACTTTTGTACCTCATTTCTTTTCGTCACATCACATTTCACGGCTAATGCTACACCACCTTCTTTCTCGATTTTGTCTTTTGTCTCTAACAACATTTTTTCTCCCCTGGCTACCAAAACAACTTTAGCACCCTCTGCTGCTAACATCTTAGATATGGCCGCACCAATCCCAAATGAAGCCCCTGTTACCACGGCAACCTTGCCAGATAGCGGCTTGTCTTCTGGAAAATTCAATGGATACATATATTTCATTGTTTGTTAGACGTAGATACTGTCCGCTGACAAAACTGGGAAATAAAGAAATAATAATCAGTAAGAGAGGACAAGGCGGAAGACATAACCATTCTGCTGACTGGTATACAACTTTTTTTCATACAAATAAACAACGTCCATGTATAGTACGTAAAATAATTCCCATCCTTTCAACAAATGATAACAATAATAATAGAACTAAGGGACATGATAACCACGATAACAGGAGCCTATAATGGACTTTGTAAGTTATCATATCCCTCTTATAAATCTGACATGAACCGTGGAATATTTGGATTGCGTTCTTGGTTGCGAAACGTAATGTCCTATTTCGAGCCCACGCTTGAATTAAGCGTACAAAATTATATAAGTTAAGGATATTTGGCATATGTATATGAAAAGGTTCATTACAAAGCCTTAAATTTTGGAGCACAAATTTACATGTTAACGACTCCAGCCACAAATTAAGTATCCCAACATAAAATTAGTTGCCACAAGCCCAGCAAACACCTAATTCGTTCATAAGGCCTGGTACTGGCAGAGGATAGCCAACCATTCCCTGAAGTAATCTGTTAACCCACCTGTTCCTTGGGTGCCGATTTGCGTTGCCATTGCACTACAGGTCCTGCAGAAGACTGGTTTTGTGTTTTAGAAGCGGTGACCTGGTGGTGGATCGACCGAGAGACGGAGGGAATAAAATAAACCCTGGACGTTGCACCACTGATATGAAAGGCTGATGTGGTGTTACAGACAGGAGTCTAGACAGACGCACATAAAAAGTAAAGAATTAGGTCATGTGTGGTTTGAATTTCAAAACATCTATTGATGTACATTACATGTTGATATATGCGGGTGTGAAAGTGGGAATTAAGGTGTGCTCGAAAGATCACGTGTCTATTAGCGTGTCTTCGCCGCGTACTGTAATTATCTCCTGTAGGCGGCGCGGATTACCTTCAACAACTCTGTTTTGTGGGGTATTGCCCCATGTTTCCTAAAAAGCTTGGGGAAATTGGTCCAGACTATTAGGCGTTTGGTGGTCCTCTGGATTGCACACTCCAATTCATGTCACGGGTGCTTAGTACGTTTAGTATCAGAACGCAACGATGGTTTCTCCAGCCTCAGAACATTGGGATTCTCCAACAAATCACTTACCAGACGTGAACTGTGTGCAAGTGTGCTGTTATGATGAAGTCTGTATCATCCCCGAATTCACCTCTTGCAGATAGAGGGAGGTATCAGTTTTATCTTTTTTGTCTTTTATCAGTTTTATCAGACTAAGTCTGGGCCTGTTAAGTGGCAGTGCCTGAGCAGTTAAGCCAACAATTACCAGCCATGACATCAGCCTTGAGATTCCATTACAGGATTACTTCAGACCAAAATGACTATTTACCTATAGACATTATATTACTCGATAATTTTGGCTTTGCGGACACTAACATTCAAATAACATCCCTGCTGAACTTACGGTTATGACTAAAATGCAGGTCAAATTCAAAAGTGGACATGAATTGATTATTCCAACCTTTGTTCTTTTCCTTACCACAAGAGCTGGCAGAGAGGATATGATGCCACCATTCCCAATATTTTTTCGTCATTTTGTCGATGGTTTTGACCAAATATTTACAGCAGAAGTAATAAAACAGACTACGGTCAAAGTTTGTATATCGCTGTGTTAAAAAGTTTACATAAAGGGTACGGGTTGTTATGATTCACTGAGGTTGGACTTGTTGGACTGTGAAGTTGTGTCACCAGTGAAAAGTGAGCCTTATCCGGGTTAACATGTTATGTTAGTAATTGACACCCACGAGTGAATACCTGAGTTGTATTTGCTACCTCGCATAACGAAGTTCTGGCGAAGTTGTTGTAAGATAAAGACAACAACTTCGTCAAAAACATACAAAAAACTGTTTATAATTGTTACAAAATCGCAGAGTGTGTAACACTTTATTTTCTTAATTTATCCCAAACCATGAAAGCCAACTTCTCAAACTTTTCCTGACAAACCAAGTTTTAGGAATTTAGTGTCTGAATTCAATGCATTTTAGCTAAATAGGAAATACTTGTGGCATGATGAGCGTTTCATTGACTGTCGTATCTGTTGGCTGTTTCATGTCATATATAACAGCTCTGGCGGCAGTATCTGAAGTAAGCTTTGTCCCTTTTTCGAATATACCGTAGATGGCCTTACACTGAAAAGACATTGAAATATACGTGTCAAATTCACGTACTTTACATGCATTTTCTGTATCTTGGTCAGATGCCAATAGATATCTCGCCTTGGTGTTACTTCCAAATGTACAATAAAATCTGAAATTTAGGTCTACTATATGAGATTTTAATTAAAGGAATAATAACTCTTCGTTTTGGCCAAAAAATGATTTTTTCTGTAGTAAACAACAATTTTCCCATACTTACCAGTGGTTAATGAATCCATTTTTACATTGAAAGTTAGTCCCTGGTTTTTTTCTAAAAAGTTTGGTTTTTTGTTAAAACCTCTTAAGAGATTATAACAGAGTATAGCCATCAATGGAGGTCACGTGATCTGAAGACAAGCTCAGATATCAGAATAATAGCTATAACTGCTGTTTTTGTCGTAAAACAGAATATATTATATTACTATGAGTTATTCACAATGTTTTTATTGTGAAATATAGATCTCATACGAAGAGTTATTATCCCTTTAATTGTCTTTAAATGTATGTTTTACCATATTGCCAACGGTTCTTACTTCAACATCCATATTGGATAGACTTTCGGTAAGTCCTGGCGTGTCCTCTGGCCCTAGCTGGACACTGGTCACCTTGACCCCATCACGACACACCTCCTGTCTCAGCGTTCGTGTCACCCCCTCCAAAAAGTACTTAGTTCCACAATAAACAGCCATACCTTGACAGGCCTGAAAATTACATTTTTTTCCTTTTAAAAAAAATTATTATTTTAGATTCCGTGTTAGATCCAAGTATTTTTCGAGAATTTTGAGGTTTTACGATTTTAGGGTAAGATTGAGGAGGAATGTGTAAATCTCAGTATTACTGGTTTTAGCGACTTCACTTTCACTGCATCTAAAATGCTGAAAACCCATAGCGACATGTTAGACCAACTCACTTTTAAACTTTATAATGGTGCATCTATTTAATTTATTTCACATAAGTCTAATATCTATTACCCACCACACAGAATATATAGGATACACTGTACCTTTCGACCGGAGCCTGAAGATATGTTGATAATATGGCCTCTTGTTCTATTGCACATACCAGGGATCACAGCTCCAATACAATTTAGGACTGCCTTAAAAGAGGAAAATATAAATTATGCTAGTTAAATGCTAGTTAAACATTAAAATGTGATATTTCAATCCTAACGTAAGAAATTACCAATTTCTCCGAGGAATGTTGAACCTTCAGTTAAGTGGATTCAAACATATATAGTATGAAAATGTCTAAATTGTTCTTCCCGTTTCTTTCATATATTATTCCCGGTATGATTCAAGTCGGTATGCATACAAATATAGGGATACTTGGTCTATTTCACAAGAAGGAAGTATTGCTTAATTCAGTGTCAGTCTGTTATAGTTTTTTTAAAGTTTTTTAATTCAGATACATCCGGGAACAAAACAGAGCACAAATCCATCTTTTTTGGATGAGACCAACGTTGCACTATTATTATTATTATTATTTGGAGCGATACCTAAGCGGACTTGCGCGCGGCTTTGATAACTAAGCACAGCAAAATCGATTGCAATTTATTTCCATGTTTTTTTTTTATTCATATTTATTTATTTATTTATTTATTTATTTATTGTTAAATTTTCTAAATTTACCTTAATGTTAAGGTCAACCATTTCTTCCCACAGGTCTTCTTTGGCATATTTCATGAACGTGTAATGATACACCCCGGCACTGTTGACAAGAATATCTACCGGACCAAATGTGCTCTCTGCGTTTCGTATCATTTCCTTGACCTAAAAGTTGGTACAAGCACAGAGGACATTTTCATCATAAATATGTTTTCATTGGTTAAAGATGCAACGAAAATGTTGCTTCTGATTTATACCGTTATTTATGAGTTTTTTCTGAATATATATAGTTTTATCATACAGAATATGAAAGAGAGAGAGAAAGAGAGAGAGAGAGAGAATGAATCCTGATTTTATACCTCATTTCTATTGGTCACGTCACATTTCAAAGCTACTGCAACGCCACCTTCTTTTTCGATTTCTTCTTTTGTCTCCATTAACGGCCTTTCTTTTCTGGCTACTAGGACGACTTTAGCGCCCTCTGCTGCTAACATTTTGGATATGGCTGCACCAATTCCAATTGAAGCCCCCGTAACCACGGCAACCTTACCAGAGAGATAGGCTTGTCTTCTGGAAAGTTAACTTTAAAATAATATACAGATGCTGCCACCTCCTGGAAAACTAAACTGTCGCCAGAGGGCAATGTTACCATCCTGATGACAGGGAATCCTAGTTCTGGGGTGATAAGAATGGTAGTCCTAGAAATGTCACTTTACTATATTTTATCATCATGTCTAAATGTCTGGCAAGTGGAAGTGGGATATCAACTTGGGATTATTGATATGGTATAAACGCAAAGAAACAATGACAGCAAAGACCGACCGAGACTTGTAAGATGGACCAAAATGCCAGCACCCTGGTTGTGGAAGGGTTCTCGTTTAAAGAGTTTTTGCTGGGTAGAAGTCAGAAGTAACACTGTGAAACTCACGATGCGCTCAGCGTATCACACACGTAAAATATAATATCAGTTCGGAGTTTGGGAAGGAATCACGCACCTAACTCCCCCCTTGCCCCACTCCAATTGATTATGTCACAGACTTATCCGTCGAGGTTATTAAAGATTAAACAACTATCATCCGCACAATATCTCCATGGTATACGGTAGTTCACCAGTCCCAAACAATTGCTTGTAATATTAGTAGAACTTACCTTGCTCTCTGGTTTGACTTTCCATGGTACCGCAGTTTCTGTACCAGACTATGGACGAGGGGAATGGAGTAGAGCCTGTCAACTCCACCACTGATACGATAGCTCGACCAAAGGTAACGCTGAGGCCGTCTGATAAGAACGTTGAAAGAATACGTCAATATTTGCAATGATACAGGCCCTAGCTGTTTTAAGAGTGTTAACAGCGGGGTTTTTATGGTATTAAAGGACGACTACGTTGTGAATATGTCAAATTAGTACTTCTGACAAATGAGCTTGGAGATAAGATAATTTCAACAAATTAATGCACAAGACTTAAAAAGATATCAACTGTTCTTTTTGAAAATAATGCATTTTCTTGGGGTAAACAACAGTTTTCCCATACTCACCAATGTTTAATGAATCCATTTTTACATTCAAAGCTAGCCCTTTTTTTAAGGTTGCTTTTTTGTAACTAACTCTTAAGATATTATTACAGAGTATAACCATCTATGGAGGTGACATGGTCCGATGACAAGCACATATTTCAGAATAATTATTATAAATGCCGTTTTTGGTAAAAAAAGAATATGTTATATTTCTATGAATTTTATACGATGTATTTATTGTGAAATAGAGATCTCACACGAATAGCTGTTATCCTTTTAAACATATATCACAAATTGCTTTCTTTTACGAGCAAAGGACTAAAGATATATGAAAACTAAACGCCTTAAACGTGGGGTTAAAATTTGACACTGCACAGTATCTTATATATAAAGGACAAAATTCATCCATGTCACCATCGTATCTGGGCTATAGGAATACACCAGAAGCCGAGTCGAGCGCAGGAGCTACATTCAGACAGTTTTTTCCATAATATTCAGGCTGTTAGGTAAAACCTTTATTTCTTAGGTTGTGGATTGATTTGGTAAAGCATTTGACGTGGTAGAAGTCTTGTCTGTGGTCTTTTTCATAGAGGTAGAAACTTCACTTCCTTTTTCTTACTTGTCAAACTTTTCTTGACATAAATCTTAGTTACATGCTATCATCTAAACTGCAAACGCTTGCGGCACGAGACAAACATCATTGAGGGCCACATCTTGAGGTTGTTTCAAAGCTTGTATAACTGCACGAGCACAAGCATCTGCAGTAAGATTGGTACTCTCGGCAAAATTGTAGAGTTTCTTACACTGAAAAGACATTGGAATATGCATGTCACTGTCATTCAAATCTAAGTACATTGGAATCTGCTTCGGAAAGATGTAAATTGGAACCTCAAAATGCATTTATATCTGGCTAACTGTGGGTCACACCTTTCAACTTAATTCTTTGTATTCTTTATGAGTGTGTCAACAGTGCCAAATATAACGTTAATGAATACATGATGGCTTTTATCAAAATTCTTATTTGCGGACTACTTCAGTCATTATTTTATCAATCTAACAATGCCCAATGCGACATGTCTTGAGTAGCTTAGGACTCAAACTTCATTTGAAACTTTGCAAGAACTAGAATGTCTAAAGTGATATAACGTGTTGTTAACAGGTCTTACTTCGTCGTCCATATTGGATACGGAGGCAGCCAGTCCTGGCGTGTCCACTGGACCCAGGTGGACATTGGTCACCTTGACCCCCTCCTGGCACACCTCCTGTCTCGGCGTTCGGCTCATCCCCTCCAAAAAAAATTTCGCACCAGAATACACTGCCAACCCTTTCAAAGGCTAGAAAACAATAGAACCACATTATAAACGTCACAGTTACTTCTCCTAGGTCACCTATTTGTTACTGATTTAAAATCTTTCTATTAGAGAAAACACATCGCTCAAATATTTGTATCCCTCAAAAATAAGTTATAAGGAATATATATGATAAATAATAAATTAGTTAGAAATAAGAAAGAAAATAGAAATAAATCTAAAATACCCTTAATCTACAGTATGACATACTCAAACTTAAATAGAATTTTAACCAGTTTATATTTTACCAAATCTCTGACTCCTGTTATGTTGATGATATGTCCTGTTTTTCTTTCACACATGTCACTGATCACAGCTCCGATGCAATTTAAGACGCCCTAGAGAAAAGATGTCTTTGATACAGCCTTAAGCACTTTTTAAAAATGAAAACAATATATTGTCATGGTACACCCGTTTTATTGCAGAATAGAACAACATCAAGCCCCCCTTTTAAAGCAGTTGGGAAATGATTTAAGTTTTAGACCATCTGTTTCTTCACTATTACAGATGAAGACTAAAGAAGTACGCAATAATCAGTTGGAGACAACCAAATGCTTTTTTTTTCTTTTGTAAAATCGTTCCAAGACCTCGGTCAGAAAGTTGGTCAGATTTGTAGACCAGTTTGTACACTTTGAACCACAGTACATCGGTAGAAGTCAAATTTTTATTGTTATATTGCACAATATCTTTAGTCGACTTCTTCATATTTACCCTTCTATAATACACAACTTTAATTTGATGTTAAAATATTGGTTATACCTTAATTTTAACGTCAACTATCTCTTCCCACAGGTCTTCTTTGGCATATTTCATGAAGGTGAAGTGCCACACCCCGGCATTGTTGACAAGAATATCTACCGGACCAAAAGTGCTCTCTGAACGCTTTATCATTTCTTTGACCTAAATGTTTGTACAAAAACTAATATTTCATCAGTCCATCAGTACACAAATGACTATGAAATACAAGATGTAACCATGCATGATGTTGTATTTTTACTATCTTAAAAGTTCAGATTAGCAATATATAACATATAACAGATTAAAGAATACAGCATTGAGAGAGAGATGGACGGAGAGAAGGACGGAAGCCACTTTTGTACCTCGTTTCTTTTTGTCACATCACATTTCACGGCTATTGCTACACCACCTTCTTTCTCGATTTTGTCTTTTGTCTCTAATAACATTTTTTCTCCCCTGGCTACCAAAACAACTTTAGCACCCTCTGCTGCCAACATTTTAGATATGGCCGCACCAATCCCAAATGAAGCCCCTGTTACCACGGCAACCTTGCCAAATAGAGGCTTGTCTTCTGGAAAATCCAATGGATGCATATATTTCATTGTTTGTTAGACGTAGATGCAGATACTGTCCGCTGACAAAATTGGGAGAAATAAATAAAAATAATAATCAGCGTCAGAGGGCAATGCGTAAGACATAACCATTCTACAGACTGGTATACACTTTATTTTCATACAAATAAATAACGTCCATGTATAGTACGTAAAATAATTCCCATCCTTTCAACAAATGATAACAATAATAATAGAACTGAAGGACATGATAACCACGATAACAGGAGCCTAAACTGGACTTGGTGTTATCACAGCCTCTTATAAATCAATGCAATTCACATTTTCCAACCTACTAAAGCAGTGGGGTGGGGGGGGGGGGTACGTAATTAGGCCTTGTAAACGATAATTGCTGTTTGCTAACTCAAGCATAAAGCTTTGGAGCACAAACTCTCAAGTTAACGTATCCCATCGACAAATCACCCCAGCAAACACCTAATCCGTTTATAAGACCTGGTGCTGGCAGAGGATAGCCAACCATTCCCTGATCTGAACAACGGCGGATCCAGGATTATTTAAAGGGGGAGGGGTCCGGAACGTCAAGCCTCGGATCCGAAACCGACCATCGCCCCTTTAGTGTAGGGTTCGGGGCCTGCTCAAAGGCCCCGAAAACTTTTTGGTGATATGGAGAGCAAACAGTGCCCTTTGGTACGATTTAGAACTAAGGTTTAGCTGGTCAAAACTCTCATTTCAAGAGGGGAATATTGGTGTGATAATTTTTCAGAAACAGAAGGGGGGCTCTAAAACCGCCACTGCTGAAGTAATCTGTTAACGCACCTGTGCCTTGCTTGCCAGTTTGCGTCGCCATTGCACTCCAGGTCCTGCAGAAGACTGGTTTTGTATAGGAAGCGGTGACCTGGTGAAGGGACCGAGAGGCGGAGGGAATAAAATTAACCCTGGACGTTGCACCGCTAATATGAAAGGCTGACGTGGTACAACGCAGAGTAGACGGACGCACATAAAAAGCCAATTAAGTGGGCCATGTGTGGTTTGAATTTCAAAACATCTGTTGATGTACATTACCCATTGATATATACAGGTGTGAAAGTAATGAATATCTGTGCCGAGGTACCGAGGTCCAATGGATTATGCTCAGGAATGTTGCTTAAAAAGACGTGCTGTGGCCTTTTTGGTTTTAGATTTCTTTAGAAAATTCATCTGAAGAGCATATACGAGGTCAGGTCGAGTTTTAATTTAAAAATTGGATAAGCAGTGGAGGCATTATAGCATGTAGGAAGAGCACATGCTTTCTACTTCTACCTGCTAATAGAAATAATCAAAGTGCATGGGAAATTCAGTAACCAAGCCAACCTTGCAGGTGCCACGTTATCTCAGATAAGAGACCAAAAGGGTGCTTAGATGAAAAACACTGCTCAGCTGAATTTCAAAGTGCCTATATATGGAGAGTCTGCGTATATCATATTTCAATTTTCACATCACAAGGAGTTGTAAACACTTGTCACTATTACTCAAGCACTGCAAAAGCAAAAACATACATGTCATTCTGATATATATGTATTCTGATAAAAGGCATATCATCAAATGATACGTGTACACGTTTCATCTGCAGTGTCAAACTATATACACACACATCCCTTTAACTACAGATATTTCCAAGGGTCACCAAGGCGCTAAAAAGCTTGACCTCCTGTACTAATTAAAATGTCTGTCATCAAATCACTTAAAAAGATGGTCTAACATTACACAAAGGCATTTCCCGAAAAAATACTTTCTTTGCTAGTTGGGAATGGGAATGCAAGTCCTAGGGCATGCATTGCTATAGGATTCAGTTTCCGTTGGACGAGGCTCCCAAGTAATGCAATGGGACGTGCGTTCCAAAAATTTTAGTAACGCATTTCACACCGAAAAATGTCATGAATAAATAGATCTAGAGATGTATTACTTTTAAAGATATAATAAACGCTTGCTTTATGTTAAACCGGGCTAGGATTATGTAGGAGGAATGTTCACCGAAAGGATTTTCAGTATAGGTTTTGAGGTAGATTAACAACACACCAGATAATGTACTTCAGACAAGCAACCAAACCAACTTACATTTTCTGATAATTATTAAATAATTTTGGTCTGGTAGTTATGTGAATCACAATCTTTCATTTTTTCTTTCCACATTAGGAGCTGGTAGAAAGGATATGATGTCATCATTCCCGATATTTTGTCGATATTCTGTCTATGGTTTTGCCCCAATATTTACAGTAGAAGAATAGGGGCGGATCCAGGATTTTTGGTCCGTTATTTTAGGAATTACAGACTGCGGATGCGAAGCCGACCCTTGGCGTTGAGTTCGGGACCCACTGAAGGTTGAAAGGTGAGGCTTATTCGGGTTGAAATACAAAAAGCTGTTTAATTGTCCCAAAACCACAGCTAGTGTACAACACTATTATTTTCGGTGATCTCAAACTATGAAAGGGTTCTTCTCCATCTTTTACTGGCACTCCAAGATTTGAGAATTTAATGTCCGAATTCAATGCATTTTCCGTAGTATTAGTTGATATAACTTAGTTAAATAGCAAATTCTTGTGGCATGATGAGCATTTCATTGACTGTTGTATCTGTCGGCTGTTTCAAGGCATATACATGTATAACAGCTCTAGCGGCAGTATCTGTAGTAAGCTTCGAAGGTACCGTAGAGGTTCTTACACTGAAAAGAATGATATATAATGGTTATTGTTGTTGGTATTAGTATGATACTTACTGTAATTTTGAAAAATTGTATGTAATGCAATTTCTTCATCATTTTAAATAGCTTTTCTGCTATTCCTTATCATGTAGGCCTACACATGTAAACCTTTGTGTTCTTCGTACTGTGATTTCTATCATATGCGAATAAAATAATTAAAATAAAATAATTAAAACAATCACTGTGCATAATATTAAGTCAATATTCAGTCAAACCCTGGTAACATACAAGTTAAGTCCAACCGCAGTTTCCTTAGACGGGAAGTCAAAATTTGATGGGGTTGGGGTGGGCAGACTGCCGTATTGTTAATTTGTGTATATGATGTATGAAAGTAGCTGTAAATCTATCTCTGTAACAGTATACCATTTTAACAGAGACATCGGATCATTCACTTAAATACATGTATGAGCAAAGAGGAAAAAACGCAAGCAACATGGTTTATTTAAATATTAGATCTAGCTGTTTTGTATATACCCAGTTTAAAAAGCTTCAGCATACTGTGTTTGAACATATCCAATTAATTTTGGTGGAAGAACTTTTTTGTTATTTACCTTGTGATTGTGATTTGCAAGGTTCATTTCCTGTAATTTGTGAATTTATGATTCCCCGTGAACTGTGATCACTACCCCCCCCCCCCCCCAATGGGACCCTCAATGTTTACAGATCACGTAACCACAGGTGTACTTTAATATTGACCTACTTATTTACACTGTGCGCGTAAGCTTACTCAGTATATCTATATAAAATATATTGCGTTAGAGTTCACCCATAATCAGCCTTATATACCAGTAGTGCAGGGAGTACTTCGTCACTCAGAGTCAATCCACCAGGTCACCACTTTCCATACAAAACCTGTCTTCTTAAGAAACTGCAGTATTATGGCAAATCAAACCAACAAGCAAGGTAGAGTTGAATTGCTTCTTTTATTTCGGGGAATGGTTGACTTCCCTCTATGTGCCCTCTCATCCCTCACTCTCTCTCACATGCGCGCGTGCGCACGTTTAGAACTCTTTTTTATCCACTTATGTTAGATGCGTTTTCTTTGTAATATGGTCAATATTCTTATCACATCTGAATTAAAGTTTATTTATTGCACCTATGACCTCAGCGTTCGAAAGTGGGGGCAACTTCACCTATAATATGTCTGTTCACAGGAATGTTAAGAGGGTTAAGAGGGTCTCTTACGACGCCGGGTTTTGTCATGCAGGGATCTATTGTGACCCCTCTGTAGACGACCTTAAATACATGTACAAGTCACGTAAAAAGTCGGCTTGTCTCTTTTAGATATCTGCACACCTTCCTATACAAATCACAATGTGACCTCGTTATTTCTTCAGAGAGTGGTTGTCTACACTTTGTTAACCCTCCCTCCTAGTCCCCATATGTACAAACTTGACATTTTATATGGAATATTTTTCCAGATCATTCTTCTTTGATTATTTCCCTACTTTTCCGACTAATAAATGAAAACAAAGATTTTTATCGTGTTTTAGTATCTTTGAATATCTATTCAGTGTAATTGTGACATCAGTGCTTTAACTGAATTCGCCTTATTAAGCAAACAATAATACGTGGCGGAAAAAGAAGTCATACAACAAACATTTTTTAAAGCGTTACTTCGATCTCCATATTTTCCAAATAAGCATCTGTGAAGAAGCAATGCCTGTTATAAGCTTTTGAATTTTTTAGATGCATTGAACTTTTTCAGAAGACAATCCTCTATCTGGCAAGGTAGCCGTGGTAGCAGGGGCTTCATTTGGGATTGGTGCGGCCATATCTAAAATGTTGGCAGCAGAGGGCGCCAAAGTTGTCCTAGTAGCCAGGGGAGAAAAACTGTTATTGGAGACAAAAGAAACAATCGAGAAAGAAGGCGGCGTTGTGATCGCTGTGACATGTGACGTAACCAAAAGAAGTGAGGTATGATTTTTGAGCATCGGGCCACATCTTTCTCTCTCTTTCTCTCCAAACTTTCCAAACAGTCAACAGGATATTTACAAGCAGTTAATTTATAAAGGGATATTCAAAACATAGTATTCCGTCAATTTTGTATAATAAAGATTGTTTCACGCTTACTTAAAGGTCAAAGAAATGATAAGGCAGACAGAGAACACATTTGGTCCGGTAGATATTCTTGTCAACAATGCCGGGGTGTGGCACTACACTTTCATGAAATATGCCAAAGAAGACCTGTGGGAAGAGATAGTTGACGTTAACATTAAGGTAAAACTAATATTTTGATGTCAAAATAGGCTTAGGTCCCATTCAGAATAGGGGACTAACTAGTCCGAGGGTCAAATATGGCCGACCCACTTGAATACTTCCCCACGGAATATCTGTTCAGTGTCTATTAGCGGATTAGATGGCAAGCTTTGTGGTGGGTCGCCATATTCGACCCTCGGACTAGTTAGTGAATGGAGCCTTGAAAACTAAATTTGAAGTTTTCAAAAGACATTCAGTCTGCAGTTGGTCTTAACCTAAAAATGAGAATTGTAATCTACTTTAATATTCGACATGGGAACATGTAGCAACAAGGCACTGGAATGTGATAAACTTATGTCAAAAAAGAAGATTCCTGATGCAAACATAATTCTTGAGAATAGATAATCCAAGGAGGTTATGTTTTCACTCCTGTTTGTTTGTTTGTCTGTCTGTCTGTTTGTCATCAGCATTACTCCAAAAGTTACGGATGAATTTCAATGGAATTTTCAGGGAAGGTCAGAAATGGGTTAACTTAGAAATGGTTAGTTTTTGGTGGTGATCCGGATCAATAATCAATAGTCAAACATCAAAAAAATAATAATGCTACATTACAGAAAAGGTTATGGACCGATTTTGATAAAATTTTCAGGAACTGTCAGAAGTGGGGCAAGGAACACATGATTAGCTTTTGGTGATGATCCGGATTAATAATCAATCAATAATCAAAAATCAAAAAACTAAATCATTATAAAATGAAAATTTAGGGGTGAAACGACATTAGATGAACCACTTAGCTGCCTTGGCAGATGTCTGCGCTCTCTGAGTGCTTTTCTAGTTTATTTATTCATACATTCTAGAGTTCTTTACAAGTGCATAGAATAGCATGCACTTAAAAGTATTTAACATAGTTTAATATGAGTCAAGTATATCCAGATGTTATGAACTATTTTTCAGGGCGTTCTTAATTGTATCGGAGCAGTGATAAGTGGTATGTGTGAGAGAAGAAGCGGGCATATTGTCAACGTGTCGTCAGATGCCGGCAGAATGGTAATTATTAGAATTGGTCACATGGAATTCCATCATTACCATTTTATCATGGTACAAGTGCCTTGAAATAGCAAATGACGTATCAAATAATTTTATACTAATTTGTGTAAAAAGGATGTGAAAACGTTTACGTGAGTGTTACCAAAATCACTTTTGCGCATGGTCACTTTTAGGATGTTGCCCAAGGAGTGAGGCGACAGGGGCCTGTATTATAATGGAATTTTACCCGAGAATTGGTCGTACATAAGGTTTTCTGCCATTTGAATGAAATACTGCATTTGCTTTATAATACGAAAGACATGATTTGTGTCCGATGAGTATTTATTTCGAATGGGGTAGAACAAAATTTTGGTCTAAAAGTGACCAGGTAAATTTCAGGCTAAATTGTTTTGTAAAAACGGCACTTTATTTGTCGTGGAATTGGGGGCAGCGGTGGTGCATGAATCCCCGCATGCGCACTGGCTTGAAGCTGTGTAGATGTAGCTGTGGCTGAATGCCTTTTAGATTCAGTTGATTTTTAAGAGTTTTTTCTCTTGTGAAAAGAAAGCTTAAATTCGGTTTATGACTAATTGATACCAATATTCTGTTGCGGTGTGTTTTCAGCCTTTACAAGGCTTGGCAATATATGTTGGAACTAAGCATTTCCTGGAAGGGATGTCACATACGCTGAGACAAGAGGTGTGTCATGATGGAGTCAAGGTGACCAGCGTCCAACCGGGGCCAGTGGACACACCTGGACTCGCTGAAAGAGTCACCAAAATGGACGATGAAGTAAGAACTATTTCAGTAACCTTGAATTACATCAAAATTTAAAGAACAAAATCCATCACCGTTTCATAAACTTGTAGACGTGATTTCTTATTCAGAATTTTTTCCATCTATAATGGCTCAGATGAGACGCATGTTCATGTTATTTGATGCTTATCAAAATTTTAAAAAACTCGTACTCTCTTTATTTAGATACATTTTCTCAAAGTTTTACAAGAAAAATGTCTGAAAAGAAGTTTGCATGCTTTTTCATTAATTATTTACATATAGTAGTCCTTCCTTTAAGGTTTAAAATCTGCTTCAGCTTAAGCAAGGACATTTGGTAAGTCAAATTTTCAACCTAAAAAAGCGCAAATTTAAGGATTATTTTATCTAAACTTTTCAGTGTAAGAGACGCTTTAGATATATGGATGAGGGTATCAAACTGACTGCAGAGGATGCTGCCCGTGCAGTGATATATGCCTTGAAGCAACCAAAAGATGTAGCGGTCAATGAAGTTCTCATTCAACCAAGAGAGATGCCACTGTAGCAGAGATATTAATACAAGATGATCTCCATGAAAATGTATCAGATTGAATAGAAATGTCATAATGCTTTAAAATGGATATGCAACCATTATCAATGCGCCTTTAAGAGAAAAAGAATGAAAGAAAAATAGTCCAATGAAAAAATAAAAAGCACACTCCATTGGAAGAGACTAACCATATGAAAGATATTAACACGAGGAACTAAACAGCATATTTCATTTTTCTTTATAATATTCATATAATGAAGGTGGCTGTTGGAAGCCATCACATAAAGATTTTTTCATTTTGAAAATGGTACTGCTATCTGTACCAAAAATCAAATCATAGATTATGAATGAATTAGCGATTATTCAACTTTCAGGATCAAATAAGCTGAAACTTCATGTACAATCCAGTACAACAATTCTTACCATATCTTTCAAAATATAATTTTTACACATCAATGCACAAATATTGAGCCTCTGACAGGTCAGCAACAAACCTCTACGGTAAATACAGTGTAAGTGGTCAAATAGTGTCGAATTTAGATATTTTTTATAAATAAATTAATATACAGTACAAATATTTTTATCATTAAAATGTGCCCATTTTGGAATTTGGCATAGATTTCAAATTCAAGTCAATAAAAAATAACCATACGTTAATGGTAAGATGACAACATTGCGCAACATTGTGCGTCCTCTTTGGAATAAGTTTCAAGACCATATACTCGAAAAAACTAATGTCAATTTGGATCTCGATGACTATAAAATCTTGTTTGGAATAAAATGCACAACGGAAAGTAAAAATTTTAATTTACTTATTATGTTTGGAAAACTATATATTTACAAGTGCCTGAAACAAAAAAAGACCCCAAGCTTTCAAGGTCTTTTGGGTTACATAAAATTTATGTATCATGTTGAAAAAAATATTGCTTTGCGTCATGGATCTTGCACATATGACAACTTTGTTAAACAATGGGCACAATGGTTACCACTTTTTGTTGAAGGGGAATAGCAGTAGCATCCCTTTCTTTATCTTTTGGGTTTAAGTTTTCTATTATATTTTATTTAATTTTGTTTTGTTAATCAGCAGGCACTTAGAGATGAAGTTACTATATTTGAGTGAAATGGACAGACAACTAATTAGTCTATTTTTGTAAACACAACTGTGTAATGCAAGGATAATATACATATTAGCAGTGACCAAGTATGAGTGTTGTGCGTACGTGGGTATGTGTGCGTGTATGAAAGGAACATATATATATACTCTATTTGTGTTTATTTATTTACTTATTATTATTTTTT